GATTAGAACCACAGGTCATTGATATCATAAATTTGAAGTGTTATAATTCAGAAGACTATTACCCTTGCGATTTGGTAGCATCCCAGTGCTTTCAGCTGAAACTGGGAGAACAGCAAAAAGACCACTTTCATCACTAAGGTTCTCTTTCTCTGTACTTCTCTTCAAAGAGCCAGTCTTCACGGCATCAGATTCAGCCAATCTTTCATAAGCAGTTGCTTAGCTATGCAAATGAACTGACTCTGGGGTTCTATCCTGCCAATGATACATACAAGCAATGTAACATTATGCAAAGTGGGCTATTTATAACAAGACATTATAATATTAAAACCTTCAGCACAGTACTTGTTGACTTCAGCTCTTCCTTGGGCTTCTCAAGTGACCTATTGGCCCCTAACAAGAAAACACATAAACTGGCAATCATTTGAGAAGCAAAAACATTACTTGGCAACAATGCATGGCTGCTAAGAATAGTGCCATTACCTGTAGGAGCCAGGTCTTGAGGTTTGTCCATCAGCTTTCGAGTCAGAGGACCAGGATTCACAAGTGATATGCTTCGAACTTCATATCGAATCGACTCTAATTGTGCCAAAGCATCTTGAAGTTCTTTATGAACCTAAAAGATCATGCAATGGACATAAATTACTTAACACAAAAGGCCTTTTGGTTCAATGGCATGTTAGCTCATGACAGTTATCAGTTTGTCAGTCTTTTAATTCATTTATAAGGAGTTTTAGTTTTTAGAAAGAAGTACCTGGCGAGCTTGAGATTGCTGCATAACATTTTCGAATTGGCCACGAGCTAACTGAACATACCCGATTGCCTGACCCGCTAGCCGCCCCGCTGTTCTAGCAATTCTAGGCAAATCCTTTGGTCCTGCAAGCAACCCATTACAAACCAAACCAACTTCACATTTTCAGTTTCTGTCTCCAATAAAATTACCCAATGATTAAACCCACAATCTCAGATAACCCAGAAAGACTTTGACTTCCCTAAAACAAAATCAGAACCAAATTTGAAAATGAAGATGCTTTAGAGCCCAACTTTCTCACATGAGCCGATACAACATGCGAGAGAATTCAGAAAAAAAAAAACGATTCAGAGAAATGTTGGACTATAAAGCAGATTTCTTTTGAATTGACAAATAAAAGTAGAGAGAGAGAGAGAGAGAGAGAGAGAGAGTACCGACTAGAGCAGCTGTGGCTCCGATCAAGAGGAAGAGCTCTCCGTAGGAAATACCCAACATTTTGGGCCTTGGACTTGATCAGGGGTGAGCATAGGCTTCTGTTGGCGCTTTCATAAAGAACCGTTTGCTCTTTTCCTTTCTCTTTATTTTATTTTATTTTATTGAG